TTTTCACATGTAGCCCTAATATTTCTCCATATTTCTGCCTCTATTTAACACATCCATTTAAAACCTACTTTCATTACTTAGCCCATTCGAAATAATTCGATTATTATTTGTATTTTTTGGAGTTCAGTCTGTTTTCAATCTGTGTATTTAAGATAAAAACAATAAATTTGAGTTCATTCAAAGTGCCATATTTTATGGATTACTTCTTGTCGTATAATCTTTGGTTTTGACATTCAAGGGCAATTCTACCAACATTAAACAATGCTTTAAAGGACATCCTGTAAAGTAAGCGCTCTCTGACAACTGGTTCACAAAGGTCTTCATTTTTCTTCCACAGGCTTTGTTCTGATTGCTTGAGCTGCCCTTTACAAACTTTCTTTATATAATACTAACACTTTCTCAAATGTTCCAAAAACTCCATCAACCCATTACGATTTGTGAAGGCCAATATTTGAAGAACCGTGGCTTTTTTTTTGATGAAATCCTCGGAATTTAACAAGAGGTCTTTGTTTGGTTGAGAATGCTTTGAACAGCATTACCATTCGACAACATGACTGACACTCGGCTGAACACAAACAATTCAAATTCTTTTAGAGTGAACAATTCCTGAAAGCAGGTGAGTCACCGTGTGTGAGGAGACATTCTGGGTTACTTTTAAAATAACAATGTGAAGAAGTAGCAACATTATGGTACAACAATGAGGTGGGCTGCTTTTGAAATGTCTTTGTTGCTTTAACTATTTTTCTTTCTTTCATCTTTAATACACCTTTTCAGAAGTTCTTCAATAGTACTTCTGAATCCAAATTTGAGAAACTAGTCAAGTCAATTTTATTTAAGTATCCCATCAATGCTATTTTCTTTTTGTAACTAAAGTTGCATCAAATATAATTTATATTGTATCTAATCGCCGAAATAGTAATACTATAATGATAATAAATACTGTATGGTTTAGTAATGAAACGTAAAATGGCATTTAACTGACGAGGTGTTTTGCTGGTGAGAGATTTGAGTAGAAGCTAAGCCTATTTTATTTGTTTTAGATAGGACCAACATGTTTCATATGCAGACCTTATTTTCCTGTTCCATGTTAAAATAAACCATTTTCAGTGG